AGGCTGCGGGAAGAGGTCCAGGGTTTGAACTTGGATGCTGGATTCAGAGCCATTGGTCTAGATCAGTGGTCCTTAGTCAGGGGTGACTTTTGTCTCCCAGGGGGTATTTGGCAGTACCTGGACACGTTTTTATACCACTGCTGGACTGGAGGATGCGCCTCGTACCTGGTGAGCAGAGGCCAGGGATGGGGAGAGACTAATACAGTGCCCAGACCAGCACATGCCACAGAAGCACTGTTTCGTGTGCTGCAGTGGAGAAACCCTGGTCTGAGCCTGTGAAAAGCATGTGACAGAGCCGGACACATAGTAGGTGCTCACCAAACAGGAGCTGAGGAGGAGTGAGGACGGGGGGAGGGCGAACTCCAGGGAGCGGGCTGTCAGCTCCAAGAACTCAGGTGTATGTCGGGTGAGCATGAAAGCAGGGGTGGGGGAGGAAGAGGCGGTCGATGGACTGGGGGTGGGGCCAGAACTGGGCAGCCACCGCCACTGGCACGCTAACCAGATGCCACCTTTCTTCTCCCTCCCGCCCTGTGTCTCTCCCCATCTCCCTGGGCCTCTGCCCGGAAGGGGACAGCCGGAGACTGAAGGGGGCCATCCAGAGGAGCACAGAGACGGGCCTGGCGGTGGAGATGCCCAGCCGGACGCTGCGCCAGGCCAGCCACGAGTCCATCGAGGACAGCATGAACAGCTACGGCTCGGAGGGCAAGTGAGTGCGGGAGAGCCGGGCCCCGTGGGCCTCGGCTCGGGCCCTGGGTTGGCCCCATCTTTGGAAGGGAGGTAGCGAGGCCTGGACGTGCCAGATAGCGGGGGCCCAGCCACTAGATTTGAATGGTGGCCCCGCCACTCCCCAGCTGAGCTCTGTGATTGGCTGTGTGGACATGTGGCTCTTCTGGGCCTCTGTTTTCTTTTCTGTAAAATGGGGCCATTTCACCAGCGTCATAGGGATTAGCAGAGGATTAACGGGGTAACACTCGGAGCGTGTAGGACAGGCTCAGCGCGTAAATTCTGCATTGGTCAGTGAAGAAGGGGGTCAAGAGGGATTTGATCATCATCATTGTGGTTCTGGCTTCATTTCCTTAGTTTCTTAAATCCCAATTGGCTTTCAAATATATAGCCTGTTGTTGGACAGGGGGTTTCACTTACATCTGGTCCTGATGCGCCAGCCCCTGGCGGGATGACCGGGGTCCTCTCCCTCTACCCATCAGCCTCACGGGAGCTAGTTACTAATGCAGATCACACTGAGCCAGTGTGTCTGGGAATGGAGACCCAGAACACCGTTGTTATTTTATCTTTAGGTTTACTTTTTATTGAGATTTTTTTATACTGAAAACAACATTGCATTGTAATGGAAACTTCAGATGTATGTCACTGTAAATCAGCATTCCATGCACATTCCAGCAAGCTCCCCACTGAAGGCCCATCCTGAGCTTCACACAGCTAACCCGACAGTCTAAAAGTTTGTTTTATTTTAGAACTCATTTTTTTAAAAAGATTTATTTACTTATGCATACAGAACTGGGGTACAGGCCAGAGGTGCAGG